GGTTTCATGATTTTACAATAATTTTATTTATGAATACAACCTCTACCTTGTTTTTGATTAAAACTTCGGCACGCTACTGTGTTTTACTGTCAGGATGCTGACACTTGTTAAACCAAGTATTTGACCATTTAAAGATGAAACACGGCAGCTATTAATAAGTAGGCAATAACAATGTAAGAAAACACGCTGAAACTAACTCGTTGTTCTTGTTTTCATCACTTGTCATCGCTTTACATCTGCCACTGTGTGTCGGCTTTAAAACACACTTTTTACCTACAAAATTGGGAAAGGGGTTATGGGAAACAGGAAATGGAGCATGGGGAATGTTGACATTTTGGCATGAATAATTAGAGTCGCTGCGGCGTGATGAATTAGGGCCCGTTTGACACCTTAATGCTCTGTACAGCTGCTCGCAATCACTTGGACTGGAGAAAGGTGGAACTGAATTGATTAAAAAAAAACGCAAGAGAATTTGAGGTGGGGTGGGGTGCGGGGTGTTGAACACTCTAAGTGCGTTTGAATATTAACACGAGTGAAGTGTAACAACAACATGCTGCTATCTGTCATCCGTCGTCTGTAGTCTGTCGTCTGTTCGTCCAGCCATCTGTCCAGGCGTTCACCCATACACCCATCTTTCTATCCACCAATCACACACCTGTCTGTATATCTGTCCATTTGTCTTTCTATGTTCCTGTTCTGTCCCATCCATCCATCCACACTATTTGTCTGTCTGATTATCTATCTATCTATCTATCTATCTATCTATCTATCTATCTATCTATCTATCTATCTATCTATCTATCTGTCTGTCTGTCTGTCTGGATATATTTGCCCATCACACACACACACACACACACACACACACACACGCACACACACACACACACACTCTGTATCTGTCTGTCTATCTACACGCTAGCTAGCTCTGATTCTCTCTCTCTCTCTCTCTCTCTCTCTCTCTGTTTTTTCCACATTCCTGCTATCCATCTATCAATCAATATATTAGTCGATGTTCAGTTTGACTTCGAATCTCTGAGACGACATGTTCAAGGTCAGGGGTGTCCAAGTCTGGTCCTCCAGGTCCCCTATCCAGCCTGTTTTTCTGTTTCCCTCCTCTAACACACCTGATTCAAATGGTCAGTATCGTTGTCAGGGTTCTCCTACAAAGCTTGCTGATGAGCTGCTCATTTAAATCAGGTGTGTTGGCGGAGGGAGACATCGAAAACAGGCTGGATTTGGAGGACCAGACATGGGCACCCCCTGCTCAAGGTGAGAGAACGCGTCCTCTTAGCCTGTTTTTCTGTTTCCCTCCTCTAACACACCTGATTCAAATGGTCAGTATCGTTGTCAGGGTTCTCCTACAAAGCTTGCTGATGAGCTGCTCATTTAAATCAGGTGTGTTGGCGGAGGGAGACATCGAAAACAGGCTGGATTTGGAGGACCAGACATGGGCACCCCCTGCTCAAGGTGAGAGAACGCGTCCTCTCTTTCGTTCGAAATCACTCTTTTCAAACGGTGCTGTCGCCCTCTGCTGGCCACTTTTATACAGTCTGAGTCGAAAACGTCCAGTACTTCTCATTTGGATTCATTGCGTACTGAATGCGTCGTCCTGAACATAAATTTCGAAATTTGCTTAGCAAGGACACGAGCGGACTGTTGAAGAAAGTCTTTGTTGCTTTGTTCCACCATTTACATGAATTATTCATTCTCCTTAAATGGTGATTTTGGCTTTCAGCAACCTGGATTGGATTTTGGATTGGATACAACTTTATTGGTAACCGGATTACTAGTTAACATGTGGGTTACTAGCACTGGATGGTGCAACATGCATTTATCAGTCACAACCTGCACTGTCTATATGATATCCATGACCTGAATTCTAGCTTTACAATGATAAGAATGCTCTGTTGTACTCTATAATAATAGATAGTTTCAATAAAAATAGATGAATAATCAACACATACCTTCACATAGAATCGTATCACACGGAATAGTGTAAGATAACGCAACATAGCAGAGCATAACGTAATTTTGCACAGCAGCATATAGCGTAATATAACATCACTGAACATAGCATAGCAATATTCCTTCCCGAAATATTGCATTACAAAGCACAAAACACAAGAAGACAACAACTCACCGTTTTTCTCAGTCATTTTAGCACAGTTCTCAAAATTATATTCGACATTTACAAAACAGTAAGAGCATTTTTCAATACCGTAC